GAAGACAGATCCTAAGGAACAATCGCAAGAGGTGTTCATACTCAAGGCACAGAGCACTTTATTCTCTGCAGGATCACAAGGGAAGGAAACCAACCTACGAGCTAGTAAGGAGGTGCAGACAAACTGAACAAGCGAACAGGAGCCGATGTAGTTCTTCATCCCTCCAGAGGATGTCATTGTAGAGCCACCAAAAAAGGCGAGCTTTGTGACCCAAATCTGGAGAGTTCGTGAATAAATGCCTAGTGTTCAGCCACGCTTCGGACAATAACCCTAAACCTCCCTATTTACTTTCCCAAAAGTAACCTATTTTCCTTAGGCCAGCGTGCAACTTCTGGAAGGCCAGGAGGAGCCACAAAACCCCTTTGTGATTTGAGAGATGTGCAACAAGTTAGCCTGAAAAGCAAATGGGACTTGTGCTCCGGGTGACCGGGCTGAGTAAAAGCATAGAGTGCTCACACACTTTGCAGTCATGCCTGTTTGCAACCTTTTTTGGTGTCCCTGAGCATGGATGGGTGCATGGAGGATACATTCACCCAAAAGGAAGATGAGCTAAGAAAACTGTGAACATGGAGATTGTGTTCATGGGTAGCAGGAACAGATTGTGTTCTGCAGATATTGAGCAAGTGCCCCCACGAAAGAGCTGTTGGGGGTGTGTGTGTCTATGTGCTTCACCCTGTTCACTCATTTCCATGGTTGGTGTCACAAAAAGAAAGTCTTTAGTTTTTGTCTCAACAGCAAACCACAGCCAAAAGGAAGAAGCATTAATGATGTTCATAGCACACTTCTGTAAGAGTTTCTAGCACTAATGATGCATCTTAATTTTGAGAGTCTAACACCACAATGTCTTCTCTACTGAGCTAATTCTACCCCCTGCTGCCTTTGGTCCTTCATGTGAGACACAGGGTCTTACATGCCTTCGCCACAAGCCACAGTCTAAGAAGACAGGAAAGGCTCTGAGTGGAAACACCGTATCACTGATGCGTAGCACTATAAAAGAATCTCCAGGCTGCTGTGCAATCCTAGAAACTGCCTCAGCTTAAAGTACTGCTGCTGCAACCCAAATCATACACCTTTTCCCCATCCCAAGTGTCCACATGGATAACGATCTGGCGATTACTGTACTCAGCTTGCCAAAGTAACTTGAGATCCTTCAAGAAAAATCACTACCCGAAAGAAATTCTCCATTTATTGATAGTATCCAGGAAGCTGGAAGGCAGGCTGTGCAGCTCATCCCCTGTACCAAACACAGTGGGTTTAAATACAAGCAAGCTAAACTACAGAGCCTCTGGGCTTTGCTGTATCAGGCCCCTTAGCCAGTGGTTCTCTGTGTTGCATGCACCACATCAGTTTTCCCATTAAAGCATATCAACTGGAAGCAAGTCATCATCCCTTCTCAAGTATGATTTAATAAGTCCAAATCCAGGAGCTGACCACGACTACATCCGGTGCTAAAGAATCACTTGCCAGCCAGCCATGCAAGCTGCATCTTAATCTCTCTCTTCTCTGCTGCTATTTGTTTCGGGGGGTTGGTTTTCTTTGTTTGTTTGTTGTGTTGCTCTTGGGTTTTTTTTAAATACACATAGATTAAATTTCCTGCCAACCAACTTTCTCATTCACACATGTTACAGAGGAAGTGGAGGGAAGGAGGAAATCAGGAACAAATGACCAGCAGAAAATAGCATTAGAAGGCTTAGTGAAAAGTCTGATCCTTAGCAATGCGCACTGTCCCATTCCTACACATCAGCAGTGCTCTCTACAGCAAGGGAGCCTCTACCACAGGGAAAGGAAAAGTGCTTTTTTTAGCTCTCATTGTCTATGGAAACTCATCAAAGAAAATATGCCAGAGCCCAAGAGCTGGAAAGTCCCAAGACTACCAAATTTCTCCTCCCCCAAAACCTGTATTCATCCATCCATGCCCAAAACTCTTGCTATTATCTCCTACTCCCTCTCCATGGCTGTGTAGGTGACCTAATGAAACCTTTTTTTGTACTGCCTGCCAGCAGACAACAAGAGCTCTGGGGTAGTGCCAGGCTCAGGAAATGCCTTGTGTGTGTCCTCCCTTGATTAGGAGGTCCAGACCTAATCATTCTTGGTAATATCCTCCCGGCATTGCAACATGTAGAGGCAGACATGGAAGAAAGCAGGCTGAATAAAGAGCCATAGCCTTTCACTCTCCATGCTCTCAAGGGTTTCTTTATCCCTGATGTTCACCTACTCCCTACCTGAGGGGAAACATAGCTCAGTAACACCAAATTCCCTTTCTCAGCACCCGTATTCCTGATCCTTATCAGCACATCTTGCCTTACTCACAAGAGTGGAGCTGTAACAAGGGCACAGTGGGGGAACTCCTGCTTTGCTGGCATTAGGAGAACAAGCTGCAGGCAGGATAGCCAGCAGCACTTGGAAAAAGCACAGGGAGAAGGGCAACTCAGTCATCAAGATACCTCACGAGAACTCTGCTTCAGGCTGCCCTTTATCAGAGGCCACATGAGTTAATAAGAGGGCCTGTTGGGTTTGCTCTGAAGTAAACACATGAAAGGGATCTGCTTCCTCACTTTTCTCTGCCCTCTGTCTTAGAAATGTTCAAAAGTCTCTTAGCAGAATCTGCTGAACCATTTTGCATACCTTGATGTTGGCACAAGGCGCATCCGCTTGCTCACAGTCCAACAGCACCATGGCTGGGAAGATCCCAGTTAGAGTGCAGACACAGAAAGGCACTTGCTAAAGCAGAAGAAGCTGAGATCCAAAGCGTTGCTTCCAATAGAAATCCAGTAACCTGCAAAAACTTACCAATATGTTTGATGAAAACAGAAATTTATCATGGAAATTCCCCCACTATCTTTCCTTTTAGTGGAGGGAGGGGATCAAGAATTTTCAGTTTGATTTCCTCTGCCCAGTAACAAATCAATCACCCAGTTACCTCAATCCTGGGTGTCATTTGAGGCTACCCTGATTTGAGGTACTCTTCATGAAGACCTAAACCATGACAAAAGGAAGATGGATCTCCTGAGCATCGCAGGTCCTCATGGGGAAACAAGGCAGTCTTGGACAGGATACCATCTGGTAGGCTGGCTTCTGCTGGAAACTTATCTGTGTTCTGGCAAGACTTTGTTGAAGTGCATGCATCTGAGTAATTTTATTTTTTTTTAGTTCAGATGAATCAGCAGATCCAAGTCCAAATGCTGTGTAAGTTAAAAAACTTCTGGCAGTCTACAGACCAGATTTCCCAAATGTTTTAAATTGATCTCTCATCTACACCAACCTCTAAAAAGATGCCCATTATCAAAGTGTAAAGCATGCTCTCATGGCTATTTCTCTGTCTAAACAGTCAAACGTACAGCTAACTCATGCTAGAACAAGTTTTCTTCTGGAATTCTTTGTTGGAAGGTGGTAAAACCAATAGGTATTGACATTTAAAGTAACACCTGTGGCATCTACTGTGGTGGACAATCCTTACTACGCAGCTGGGGTTGAAGGCTGTCAGCAAAACCATGCATTTCAGTAGTGACTTCCACTTATAATAGTTTGAACATTTGTTTGCTTTTTAATGGTAAATAGTCACTCTGGAGTGACACACATCTAACTGGTATTATTTTTGGCTAGATATTTATACTGCAGCAATGCCTCACTAGATAAAATTTACAGGCTAAAACTCCAGCAAACTGGGTGCTGCACAAATCTTGTAAACTATCCTGTATCTTAGGAAATTCTTCTCTAGATCAATAGACAGAGATGTGCAGAAGAATAACGTAAGGGGTAAGCCAGTGGCAAGGAATGGATAGTACTGCAGAATACTGACAGGGCTATCATGGGAATAAAATGCAAAGATGCTATTAATGTCACATCAAGGTCGCACAATCAAAAGATGAAAAATGCAAACATTAAGATTCCTACAGCAACTTTCCCAAAATGGCAATGCAGTCATCTCATTTACTATAAGGTCTATATCTGAGAACACATTTACAGGAGTATTTTAAACTAGGTGTTGAAAAACACCAAGGAATAAGAACACAATGCATGTACAGCAGGGCTGAATTACCACTGCTGCTGGATCTGTAGGTTTCTGGGTTTAATAACCATTCTCAGAATATCTGGGGGATTTTAGAGAAGTAGGGAAAACGAAACATGGAGAGAAAAATGCAAAATCTTTGGCAAAACATCAGGCTGTCCTAACTAATAATAACCTTCTGCTAGCAGGTGTTGATAAGGACTAAGAAGTGTGTGCTTCCCAGTCCCCTTATGCCCTGGAAACGTGAAGGCTCAGACAATGAAATTTTCCATGCTCAGTCTGTGGAGATCAGCACTTTTGTTGACCTTCCGACAGTTTCTCCCATCAAATTTACTCAGAAGCAAGACAGTCAATGAGGACCTTCCTGGTTACTGCCTTGGATTTTGGATCTGGGTTGAACCCGCTATGTTTCAGATTGGAAAACCAACACATGAGCAAAGTCAGGCAATTTTTAAAATATTTTCCCACATCACTTGAAGCAGAAAAGGATCTCCCCCGTGAAAAAAAAAAAAACAACAGAAAAACAAACAAAAGAAAAAACCAAACAGAAAATAAAACTCACCTTTGTCTAGAGAAGTAGAGACCTTGCAAGCCTGTGAAATTGTACCTTCAAGGGCAATGTGTCAGACTATTATGAATGAGGAAAACAAGGCTACAGTACCAGGGTTAACTACCAAACTGGCTGGCCTAATAATGTGCAGGTCTTGGTTGCACAGTTGCTGCTTACTGCCAGTCATATCAAGGATGAGTATTAGTGGCCAAATTCATTATAGTTACAGAATTAGGTAAGAAAGGGGAAAAAAGCAGCAGCAGGCAGTAAGAAGTCCTTTTTTTATATGAATAAAGTTTTATTGAATTTTAGACAATTAGAAAGAACAAAGAAAGAGGAGCAAACAGTCTCATGGAGGGTAGGAACCAGAAGAGCTTTCCCAGTAGAGGAGAGGGCCTGCTGAGGGCAGTGTTCCTGTAAATGTCACACAGGGGTTGTTACAAACGCAGAGAAAATGTGTCTGGGCTTTTCTGTGATTGCCTTTTCTTTTTTTTTTTTTTTACCTCCCACATTAGGGTTTCTAAAGCCACTCTTCTTCCCCCTGTCAATCCTACCACCCAGCTGCAAAGTGAGCAGAAAGGCAGGAAAGAGGACTGCTCCAGTGAGATCTGTGTGCACACACACACAGAGCAGCCTCCTGCCTGCACCACCATGGGGGTTTGCACCCATTCTGGATGGAGTTGTGTAGGAGGGGGGAGGAAGGGAAGTTAGATTTTAATTTTTTTTCCTTTTTTTTTTTGTCTTCTCTTTTTTAATTTAAGCAAAGAAGGCACAAAATCTCAGCCAAGCTTCAAACTTAGTGCTGCCTGGGAGCTCCAAACCTCCCAAAAAGCCAGTGTGTCCATGTAGGAACCCAGCCCTCACCTCTTCTCCCTCTTCCTCAGAGTCTGTGCTTGCATTTGAAAGGTACTGCTCAGGCAGAAGGTCCTGCCCAAGGCTTGTGCACTGCTAGGGAAAGTAAAGCCGTGCCGGGACAAGGAAAGTAGGGATGAGGAAGAGTCTGTTGGCTTAAACAGACCCTTTTACCAATGTGAGAGCTACGGAAAGTCACCTGTGACTCCCCAAATTGCTTTTCCAAAAGCAGACCTGGGAGGGCTCTGGTGCTTTTGGAGGTCACCACTGCTTTTACATGTGCAAGGGTTGGTGTTACACAGGAGGGCGGAGATACTCATCCAGGCATGGCCCCATTGAGCCATTGCTCTCTGGGAAGGTAAGTACCAGCCCTCAGTCCAGCCCTCCAAATGGCACCAGGTTCCTCGAGCAGTTTCCACTCTTGGCTTTGATTAAGGCTATTTAGTTGCAATAGAAAAAGAATGGGTGCCAGGCACAACCACCTCCCCAGCTGCAAGGAGATGGCAGAGCCACTGGCAGATGCCACCAGCACCCAGCCCCAGGACATTGTGGGAAGTAGAGGAGGCAGAGAGATAGCACGTGGGTTTCCACAGGGTTACACCCTCCATTAAACCCCTGCTTTCACTTTTTTTTCTAAGAAAAGGGATTTGGAGGCGAATCCTGCCAGCCTCAGCATTTGTGATGTCCCTGGGCATGGAACAGCAGGAATGAAAACTCTGATGCTTCCGTGTGGGAGCCCCAAGCACAACACGTGCCCTGCCATACCACCCAGCCACGGACAGCCCAGTAAGGAAAACCAAACCCACCATGCAAACACCAAAGCTGTGGGGTTTGAAGCTTCTTACCCTGAACCAGAGCAGCCCATGGGCAGCAGATGCCTCTGGACCTGCCTGCTGCTCTTCCATGCCACGCTGCTCCTCTCTGCCTCCTGAATAAACCCAGCAACAGCCCAAAAAAAAAGAAAAAGCCATGAGCCATACAGCAGCAACAGCAGCGACGCACCCCTATCCTGCATGGAGTGTCTGGGGGAAAGACACTCAGCTCCATCGTCCACAGCCATGAACAGGCAGCGGTACAGAGCTAGCGCAGGAAAAACACCCAGTCTGAGGAGGACCTGTGTGTGTGTCTGTGTGTGTCTGTGTGTTTGTGTGCATGTTGGGGTGGGGGAAGAACTGCAACAAATAAAGACAAACGCTCCCCGGTCCGCACCCTCGCCCAGCCGTCCCCTTGGCCGGGCTGGTGGCTGTTATCTCCCTCTGTCCCCTCCAGCCTGGCCTGTGTCCCTTCACACCCGGCCCACTGCCCTCCTTCATCCAGCAGCAAGGCCAGGGGGTGTGGGGAGGGGGCCAGGGTGACCATGTTGAGGCAGACCCCGCCTCAGCACCCCTCCCCACTCAGCCCTTCCTGCCCCAATGCGGGCTGGCGTTCTCTTGGAAATAAAACAGCGACAACAACAGAAAAAAAAAAAGAAATAATAATATATATATATCTCCCCAAACCTCCCTGAAAGACCCAAATGGATGGAATCGATTCCCAACAAAACCGATGGGAAACAAAAGCAAAAGTCCCTCCTGGGGTCAGGGCTGGGTGCACATCCCGGCCGGGGCCCAGCAGCCAGGGAGCATGTCCCCACCTCCTTGGTCCTCCGACCTTGGCACGTCTGCGGCGTCCACCGGCACAAGGAGCCCCAACAGCCAGGGGGATGCGTCATGGCTGGGGCTGTCCCCCTCCCCGACCGGCAGTGGCCTTGGGAGGGAAGGGCAGGGGGGCGAGGTAAGTGTGTGTCCCCCCACTGCCTCGCCACCTTTCAGGAAGGAGTAGGGTCTCTTCGCCCCACCGGGTACAAGAGGCCCCTTGCTTGGCTCTTGGCCACCAGCATGGCCCTACACAAGGGAGCCAGCCCGGCTCTGGGCGGGCACCATGACAGGGACAGCCCCGATCCGCTCCAGCGTGGCCTGGCTGACGGCGTAGGAGCGGGTGTGCGGTGGCCGTGGCTTCCTGCTGACTGAGCCGTTGCTCCGGATCACCTCCTGAGGGGACGGCGCCGTGCTGGCCGTCACCACCAGCGTCTTAGGGGGAGCCGGGGACGGGTGGCCGCCGTTGGCATAGATGGGGCGGGTGCTCGTGCTCCCCGAGCGGGAGAAGGGGGGCTGGTGGGCATCATTGCTGTTGCTGAAGCGGGTGAAGGAGTCTGTGGCGTGGTTGGCTTTGGGGTCATTCCAGTAGCGGCTGTTGTAGGTGTTGGAGGAAGTGAGAGTGTCGTTCTCTGATGAGGATGCATCGGCGTGGAATGTCTTTGCGGCGGAGGAGCATTTAGGTGGCAGGTCGTCCTCCCTGGGAAGGAGAGGGTGTGAGGGCACACGGAGGATGCCGCCCCATTTGTCCAACACCAACCCTCACCCCCCCTCCCACAGCCTGATGGAGTCAACACCATCAATTCAAGATGAAGGACAACACCAATGTCAACCAGCACTGCTGCTTGGCCCTTTGCTCATCCCTCTTTGTAGGACCCACTTCTGTCCACATTAATTGCTCCATGTGCCTAGCACTGAGGCAAACAGCCCATGCTCATGCATCTAAGGGGGGCAAAACTACTGGTTGTCACAGCCACTGGTACTTTGCAGGCAGCCAGTATTATCGTACAACCAATGAAGGGAAGATGCAGGAAGCTACCAAAGGGAAACACTGTGGCTGTAACACCAGAGAAGATCACAATTGTATCTCCAGAGCTTTTCAGCTATCGCTGTCCAGCATCATGGTCAAGGTCCCCACCATACCACTCTCCTACAGAGCTAACAACACCAAGTCAAAGCTCTCAATAAAGGCAATACTGAAAAAAAAAAAAAAAGTCTGTTGTTACCATTCTTAATTTGTTGCCTCCATTTTCTGGACGTATGTGGACATCTTCCACAGGCCCAGGAGATCACAAACAGGATTAGCAAGAGTGAGATTTCTGATTGCCTTCCTTTCAGCCCCTGCTTTTGCTGGGCAATCAGAGGTCCCCTACCACCGGTTTTCCCTGACCCTTACCTTATCTCATTTGGAATCTCCTCCTCTTCTTCTTCTTTGTGTTTATTTTTCCAGTAAAACAGTGCCACGGCCACCAAGACAATGCAAACAACAAGCACAACGGCACCTGTGGCTACCGCTCCTGCAATCAGGCCAATACTCCGGGGGTGGGCTGTGGGGACAATTGAACAGAGAATGGAGAAGAAATCAGGGCTGGTCTTTGGCTGTCTATAAGCATTTGAAGCTACCGTGGCTTGGGAGGGGGGGAAAAGGCAATGTTGCCATTCCAGGACACAACGATCTTCTGATAGAGAGGCACATGTGGCTAACAGCAAACATGGTTACACACTTTACTGTCACAAGACAAAAGCAGGTGACCAAACCTCCCTTAGCAAAATACTTACGTGCAATGACTTGCAGGTCCAGAAGGCAAGTGCTGGTTCCAATGGCATTTGAAGCCACACATTGGTAAAGACCTGAGGACACAGTGCTGATATTTCGGAGAGTGACAGTGCCCTGGACTTGGTCTAGTTAGAGAGAAAAGAAGGGTTTAAATCCCTCCCCCCGCTTGAGGAAAACCGTGAAAAGGCAAAGCCAACAAATAGAGAATTTTGGTGTGAGAGTCTCTTAAGAGAGAAATAAATTAGGAAGTAACCTTGAGATGGAAGCATTGTGCACGCGCACATACACACACACAAGATTAGGTCTTAAGGAGCTTACACTAGATGTTTCTTTTTCTTCTTATAGATTAATTTCTGCAAATGAAAGCTTGGGAGTCTCAGCATTGTGTGAGAAAAGGGAGGAAAAAGAGATATGCTATACCCAGATCTACCTGCTAATTCAGTCCTGCCCTGCAGAACCCCTGCTCTCCCCATCCCTGGGCTCTCCACCCCCTGGCTCTGCAAATGTTCCTCATTCCTGATTTATGCAAATGATTGCATATTATTAAAATACAGCAAGATAAAGGCAAAAGTACAGTTATCACTACTTGGTCAGGACACCTAGGCTGAGAAATCTTGTGGATAGGACTTGGGGTTGGGCAATACCCAGTCTTACCAGAGCTTTTATACACATCTGAAAGGCAGTAACTTATTGGAGAACAATGACCTCAGTGTGAGAAGTATTTTCCTGGGATGATTCTACCTCCCTTCTCCCAGTTTCCAACCTATGAGCCTTTCATTTGGTTTAAAATGCAGGTGAATCGGCAGCTGAAATCTCTAGCCACATGCCAACATCTGGCAACCTTGTTCTCTCTCTTCCATTCAAACAGACCCTTGTTCTTCAATGGGCAACATGTTTCTGTACCTAAAACCCATGAAAATTCAAGTGGCCACTGGAGGGTACCTAGTCCACCATGGGCTCTAGGAATCTTCGTTCCAATAAAGTGATCATGCAAGTGGTGGCAGACACTCAGTAAACCATGCCACCTCTGGTGGCTCAGACAAAGGAAAACACAGGCTGTTACCTGGGAAATAATAGGATAATCAACAGAACGAGCACCTTGTGTGGCAGTTGGGGGCAACTTAGGAACATTGTCCAGTTTCTCCCAGAGGTATGTTGGCCGGGGGATGCCTTCTTCCGAGCTGCAGGTCAGTGTGATATCGCTGCCCACGTCCAGGGACCCCTGGATTCTGCAAAGCGGGGCAGAAGGAGGAACTGCGAGAGAAGAGGGGAAGGTGACAGCAGATCAGGAAATATGATCAAACAGTGGAGTGCAGGTTCTTTCTGGACACATGCTTCTGGGGAAAGCAAGGACACTGGCATGAGCTGACAAGGAGAGAAAAGGGAGGCAGCAGACAAGAACCCATTAAGGTTTGGGGGGGTGACAGTTCACAAAGATTCCTGACCCACCAGCCCATCAAGATTAAAGACTACTGCTGGGTTTCACAGGACCCAGTTCTCTTAAATCCCTCCCTAGAGAAGAAGAGTGAGAACATTTCTGTCTTTGAGACAGTAAGGGTGGTGAAAGCTAACAGAGCTGCAGTCAGAATTTGCTGTGGGTTTTGTTTTCATATCCCTATAATGGCACACACTCTGGAGAATTTAACATCCCAGGGAGCATCCAGTACTAATTTCTTTCATGCAAAGGAAGCAAAGATCTAAAGTCATTCTCTTCTGTTGCTATGCACAAAACTCTTATGGTCCCTTCAGCTCTCCAGGAGGCCCTCATATTTTATTCATGCTTCTTTGCATGTATATCACAATGCTGCCACAAAAGCTTTCTCTCCACTATATTTTAAAACTCCATTATATGCTACCTGCATATGAAGGCTATGTGCCTACAAACTCCCACAAGACCCACAAGGCAGCCCATCCCTCACCACAGGATGCCTAAGGGCTTCAGTACACTACCATACACTACCATATTGCTCTGCTATGGTGCACTATGATACACAGAAGATCCCCTTGACCTTGTTCCTCCCCTCTCCCCCATAATCCAAATAAACACACCCAGGACAGTAAGTCCAATGACTCCAATATTCCTGACGCCTCGGTCTGGAAGGTTGTTGACCAAACACTGGTATGTGCCAGTATCCGATAGCTGAGTGTTGTTGATGAAGATGGAGGCACTGGTGGTTGGCATTGTCACAGCAAACCCCACTCGCCCATAGAACTGAGGTGCACCACCAAAGATCTGACCCCCTTGGTAGAGAATAACCTGGAAAAGAAAGGAAGGCTCATACAACACTCTGCAGAAACTGCACAAGGAGGAAGAACAGCAAGAAAAATATGGGCTCCTAAAGTTCCTAAGGCATGTCTAAATAACCAGACCTCCATATACACTTGTACCAGGCAGACCCATCATAGCGGGGTGTTTTCTCTAAAAGAGGAACACAGTCTGTAGCCTTATTTATGTCAACAAAAATGTTCACAGAGGCAACAGACTAGATAGATACCCAAGTCTTCTGGCATAGCTGAGTTGGCAATACCAGCCTGCTTCATATAATAATCATTACCCATCTGGGAGGATGGATCTAAAGAAACAGGGTCTCTGCAGGTCAGTGAGTACTTTATGGGAGAGCATCCTCCAAGTGGGCGGTATCATTCTGAGTCTCATGGAAGGTAAGATCATTCCATGATTTGATATTCTTACTGAAGATCATGGGGATGAACTGAATGACAGGCAATGCAACTTTTGAACCTGCACAGCCTCTACCAATCAGATGGCTTTTATAGCACTTTGTACTCAAACCAAATCCCTGAGGAACAAGTACTCGTCCATGCAGGTTCTCACAACTGAATACCAAGTGTGATGGGGGCAGTGTGACCCAAGACAAATGCATTTCAGAGCAATGGCACTATTCTGCTGTCAGAGTACATGGGCAAAAACCGGGCCAGCAGATCTCAGATTATGATTCTTGTGCCCACCATGATAGACTCTCACTTGCTAATGGACTTGCATAAGCAACAGACAGTGAAAAAGTAAGAGGGGAATTAAAGGAGGAGATGAGTCTATGTATGAGAGGCCGTGTCTTCTGGGCACATTTTAGATAGATTTCACAGCTGCAGCTGCTCCCAGATCCTCCAAATTCCATACCCAGAGCACCAAAACCTGGATTATATCTCCTGTGCTCATTTAAACACACAAATTACCAGAGATCCAGGGCAGCCGTACAGTATCGTGTATGTCTGCTCCAATTGCATTTCTAGCCAAGGACACAACGCGCATCAGTTAACAAAGCATTGTAGAAACCAGATTCAAGAAAGATCCAGAGGGTATGTTCAACAATGAAGGGAATGTTCTGGGACAACAAGGGAGTCGGCGTTGCAAAGAGACTACATCTAGATCAGTGTGAAAAGGGTGAGGAAAAGGAAAGTTTCAAAGAAATGCATGCTCCAGTGAGAAAGGACCTACCTGTTGAGGCTGGTTGGCATTAGAAAGAGGAATGACCATCCATATGACATTAAGGTTAGTGAGAGCAGCATTAGTGGTGAAGGTGCAGGGCAATACTGCTGTCTGGCCTCGAGCAACCTGGATGCTCCCTGAACTGACTGACACCTCCAGAGGACACACCAGACCTGAAAAGAGAAGTACACCCAGTTCAAGCATTTCAGGAGAAGGACATCTAGTTTCAAGCATTTCAGGTGGTCCCATACACATGCAGTTCATGACAGCAGCATCCTGTTGTTACAAAACTATCTCTTACCAATCACTTCAGGCTAAAAAGAATGATATTCTTCCCTCAACAGATCACACTGCTCTCATGCAGTGCCTTTTTCACAGGCAAATGCAGACAGGTAGCCCTTTTAAGTGAGAGCACTCTAGTTCCAGAGCCTCTGAAAACAACAGGTTTTGTTTTGGTGATGGGGAAAGAGCGGTAAGAGCAGCCAAGCTGTGCCTAAGAGATAATGAAGTGTGTTTTCGAACCCATCAATCTTAATGATACTCAACATTACTGAAACAGAAAAGGAAACTACATTCTAAAAGTATTCACCAAGGTCTAAGAAGAGAGAACATGTATCATTAAAGAAGAAACACAGTTTTCCCCACACTTCTACCCCTCATAAAGTCCCATATGAGCAGAAACATTTTAGTGCTATTTTTAATTAAGCTTTTCCAGTCCAGGTATTTCTATCTAGCTGGTGAAAAACGACTACTGATAATGGAGGAACTCATCAAAGCTCATTTATTTTCCAGTATTTCCACCATTCACTTCTTTGCATTCCACACAGGCTGGACAGGGCTGAAAGCCTGATAACCCCCAGCTTCCCAGTGCAGCAGCTCAAGGCTGCAGTTTTTAAACTGCAAGTCACACAGGGAAATATCACTGTTCCTACTGCCAAAATCTTGTCAAATGAAACTAACCAAGGGGGCACCTCCACCATTTTGAGTAGCACTAAAATTCCTTAAATCATTTTTCCCTACAAAATCAAAATATTGACTAAAAAAACCAAAACTATCTCTCTATATGACAGCTCACTATCTTCTTGTTCAGTGCACGTGGGAGGCTGCTGGAGGAGAAGGCAAAGAGTTTCCAAGCTCCAAGGCAGTATCAGAGTATTGCTAGCACCCAGGCATAGTCTGGGAATTGTCCCATGCTCTTGCAACTCCAGGAAGGGCTACCAGCAAAGTTCCTATTTTCTGCCAAGAGACACTGGTTGGCTGAAGGTGAAATGCTCCATGAGAATAGGTTTCTATCTGAACTACAAAGAAATAGAACAGGCTAATCTCTGAGAAAAAGGTGAGTGGTCTCCTGCACACTTGTCTGCTAGGATTCTTCCCAGCCTGCCTAATGGAGAGATGGGGCACTCAGAGCCTGGAAGCGCTGAACTTCAGATGCTACAGATCCAAACTTTCTAGCACCTGAACAGCCTATGATGAGTTCCTAGGTTTAGATGGGCTGCTCCAGAGCTGCAATATCCCAGGACCTTGCAAATCTTCAGCAATCTGTTCTGGATTTCTGTTCCCTCCTCCATATCTCCCACCTCCAAAGCCCTAGGTAGTCCAGGGAGGCTCAGAAGTACTTCAGAACAGAGCCAGGGAAAATGCCATTTTCATCTCCAAGTGAAATTCTTTAGTTTCTTACTTTGCAGAAAAACCAAACAACAACAACAAAAAAACAAACAAACCCCCAAAAAACCCCAAAATACCAAGCCTGACATTCCTCACAGGCTTGGAACATATTTAAAAAAATAGAACATTTTGGAAATTCCTAGGGAAACTGTTCATCTCTTCTGCTAACATCTCAGGGAATTAGGTGCCTGGATGAGGAACAGCTGGTGAAAGTTTAATCCATCAATCTCCTATACAGGGCTGTCAGCAGCAAGCAGAAGTAAACAATTTGAAGAGCCAGTAATAAGCATCACCTTTATTACAGGGAATCTCCCTTCCAGTTGCATCTGTGGTCAACAGACTGGGAATGGTTTTGGAATCCTCATTTGCTTATGGCTGTCCAGGCAGTGGTAGTGGCCCAAACACCAGAAGTAATCTATGTTAACTCCTTGCTGAATATGACCCTGAAAAGGGATCATCTTTTCTGCAGGCTTTATTTTGAAGGCTACCTTGCTATGACTACTCATCGAGTCCAGCATCATCCATGTGCTAACAGTGTGCAGGGAGTCACAATAATTTGGACATCTCTCAGATCAGCCTCTCTCTCCAACATGGTGCAGAATGCTTTTCTGCCACATTCAGCATAGATTTAAAGAGATGCTGTCTGGGAGAGGAAAGTAAACTACACATCTGATTTGGAATAGCAACGTGTGTGCTTCAGCCCATCCCTTACCCCCTTCACTTTCCCCTCCATGAAACCGCCCCCCTATTAAAATTCTTGTCATTCAGGAAAAGTAATACTTAACTGTGAGTATCCACTAATAGCAAATTTACTGGGAAAGTTAGACTTTGCAGTTTGCATTGCAAAGTTAGTTACATCAATCACTCAGTCATCAAGATGATGTGATTTTCATACCTAACCACCCTCTTGCTAATCCTAATATTTACTATTAGTTGATTGCAAACATCCTGCAGAATAACAAAAACACTAAAATAGAACACGCATAATTTCTTCACTGTAAAAATAATTTTCAATACATTTGAGAATTTCTCAATCTACTTATGAACAATTAAAAAAAAAGAAAGAAAACACACGATATTCCTTTTGCTCTGCCTGGGCCCCCCTCTCTCCTTGCAGCACCCCACGGCCCTCGTAATCTCCTCCCCTTTTCAAGGCACCATAACATCCTTTTTAATTAGAATGTCATGGAGTAGTTGCTGTGAGCAGGGGACACTAAGGAAGAGCTGATGTCCCAGTCCATTTATCTTCTCAAGGGGACCTGCTTTGAAGCCGGACATGCAAGATGAGCACCTGCCCCCTCCATGCTGTCCTTCCTTTGTCTTGTTAAACCACGGGAGAAGCTTCTCAGACTTGCCTTTGCCTCATGCATCCCAGGGCCCTTCAGCTGCTCTTTGGCCCAAGATACATACAAGGCAGGCGGCACTTAAAGACACGGACTCATTTTGTTAAGCTAAGTGGCACCTGCAGGGCTACAGCTGGGGAAAACACACAACCACTTCTGACAAGTAAGCTTAAACAAGGCGACAGGGGAGTCAGGAGACCAAATGTAGGCAAGGTTCTCTTCCACCAGCATAAACAGGAAGGTAGGCTGGTGTGTTAACACGGCACCAGGGGGGCATTACTACAATGTGACTCCTTTCCCAGGGAGACAGCTGAAAGAGCAAAGATCAAATCCTCTTCAGAAACTACAGCGTCTTTACAGCTCAGACTACTAGAAAATGTAACAAACTTACACATGCATTTGCCCATCTATGCAAGTATCTACGTGACTGCTTCCTTCCACACCAATACTCACGGCCCAAAACACAGGTGGATGCACACAAAAACACATACACTTCTAAACCTGTATGCCGAGGAAGAAATCTAGTAGGAAAACTCAACCAAACGATACATGTTTAAACATTTCAAAATTAGGAGTTGCAAAAATGTGGCTTTGCATTAATGCAAAAGGAGGAGGCAGGGGAAAGAGGGAGGAAGAGATATCAAATTTAGCATATCTATTGGGATAAGGATTTTTCAATGCAGCCTAAGGAATGAGGACTTGAATTCCCTTGGGTAGGTATAAATGCAAATATAGATATATGCACACACATACAGCCCAGTCTACTAAGTCAAATTATGCAGAAAAATCAAGGGAAACATGTTGTACGGGGTCTCCTTTTGCAATGGTACACAACCCAGATATTTTCTAAGCATTCAGAGAAGCTTAATCACTTGTGAGAGACAACAAGAATCGATCACCATCAAATCATGTCTTAGAATTGGATTACAATGGCCATTACACCCTTACACCCCCTCTTGTATGTGCAGCCTCTGCCTTACTTAGTAATTAAGCATCCCTGAAACCAGTAAGCCTGGAGGAAGAACAGGGTACACCACTGTCAGCAGAAAGAAGAATGGGCCCTTCTTGTACATAGGACACTTTGATCTTAGCTTGATTCTGCAAACAGCTTTCTACTTTGATCCTGATGCAGCAAGCTACCATCACTAATTAGAATGGATGCTCCATATGGTTTTTTTTGTCCCCTATCAGAGAACCAGCCAGCAGAATGATATTTTGGCTACAGAGGGTCTTTTAGAGTTTCTTCGTATTTCCAGGACCAAGTAATTACTCTGGCAACAGATCAGTCTTGATTTCATTTTCAATGGGTCACTACTGCTTTTTCAAGTAGCATACTCAGCTCTCCCTCCCGCATCCATGAAGGAGTCCATATAGTTAGTCCATACAGCATGACACAAGCATGTAGGTCCCAGTCCCACAACCAACATTTGACTCCCTGCTGGATATGAGGAGAAGGAAAATGCTGCCACATGCCACAAGGGCTGCAAGCCTGAGAGGCGTCAGAATATACCAGATGCTGTAAAGCTAAAAGACATGAGCACATCTTAGCACTTTGACTCATACTACGTTGACCCAAGATGTTCCCAGCTACAGGTCACTGCAACACCTCTCTGCCAGAGGTCACCAGCAAAACCAGCAAATCACCTTGGCCAACAGCCCTGCGAGTGAAATGAGGACTTCCACCACCATGACTTCACATCAATAGGCCAGATTATAACATTAACAGCTGATGCACAAATCACTGGTCTATATCATCATGATGACAGATGGTCACAGACCACAAGGCCCTCAAAGGCTGTGCCTTCAGGAAGCACTGTGGTCATGCTAAGGGCACATTCTCCTCTACTTCTGGATCATCCCCAGCACCTGGTTTGCAGAGGCAACCAAGTTCAGTGAGACATCTTGGTATTACTGTCTGGGTTACAGTACAGTGCACAGAGTCTTTCCCCATTGCATTTATCTTAGGAGTGTTGATCTCCCGGGACCACAGAAAAATAAAAGTTTATTTGGAGGGTCATTCATACCACAGAAATCAAGCTCCTGCCCTACCTCACCTTCTGAAGGACATACTCTACTTTGCAAGTAGGCCCAAAAACCTGTTAGCAAGTCAGCAGCATTTGCCGACTGCTAGCAGCAACCTCTTGATACTCAACGGCGTGGGC